CAACTCCATTCTCTCTCCCTCCTATAAGTAAAAACAGTGACTGCAGTGCGCCTGCTTCGACTTCTGTACTGTGTGCTGCACCTAGTAGTCTGTTCACTACACTCGAGACTGTAAGATACAGTCAACCAGCCATAGTGAACAACCCGGCAACGTACGCATCGGTTGCTGCCAAGCAAACACCGGAAAGGGCGACGGTAACCTTTGTGCCCGAACTAGAGAAAACAAAACTGACGCAGCACGGATGGCACACACCAAGGCCGTTCACAAATTCAACAAAAACACCAGAAACTAAGCCTCGAAATCCAAAACCAGTAGCCACCAGGCGCAACCATGGTGTCCTAAATATCGTATGCACTAATGTCCCCGAATCCAAATCCAATACAATTAAGGGTAAGTTGACGGACGATCGAAATCAGTGGGTTTCCATCTGTACGTCGATCGGAGTCCATGCTAATCCCACGACATTAAAAAGAATCTCGCGCCATCCAAACGCGTTGCACTACGGCGAACCCCGGTTACTTCGAGTAACACTAAACTCGGCGGACGAGACTGAGGCCGTTCTGCTGTCCGCGAATCGTCTGCGCAACGACTCAAGTGGAGTGCGCATACTACCCGAAATCCCGTGGAAAGAACGTTCAGGGGATCCCGCCAACAAAGATAGGTACAGAATAAGTCAAGATAAGAAAACAGTGATTGCTCACGGTGTTCCTGAGCTTACTGACTCCTCTTCCGACGATGCTCAGATGCATGACCGCGAGCAATGGCACTACATCCGGGAGGTTCTTTCTCTCGAAAATGTGGTGGTCACCTCGTTGACAAGGATCCCCATATCACCAAACTATAAAGGATGCGGTCCCAGGCTCTTACAACTTGTGTTACAGTCGGAACAAATGGCACAAACCCTACTAGCGAACTGGATCAAATTCCGTTGCAGATTGCCAACGGAAATTCGTCTGAAAGCAGCAAGAACACCAACACCTTTTAATGACAATTCAGTAGAGGCACAACTCTTAATGAAAACGTCAGCTGCAGGACCCGACTCGGGGACGGTTTCAAGAGTAGCCATACTATCCGGAGGGGCAGAGCAGAGCACGAGCAAACACCAGGATTCGGAGCATCTGATACCTGCTTATATATCAAATACTTCTCGAGAGTATGCAACCCATCCAAAAAACGATTAGTCGCCGACCCTTTAATGGTCGGCGTAACCTCATTTGCTTCATCCACCCCTCCAGTCGCCGGCCACTCACTGGTCGGCGAAACTTCACGTATGAGTTGTACAACTTCTGAAACATTGATTAAATCTGATAAACTTTCATGTATGTACACCAACGCCCAAGGGCTCCTCAGTAAAATTAACGAACTTCGACTGCGTCAGGTTGCGAATGCTTGGGACCTAATTTCTATTACCGAAACTTGGTTGCATCAAGAGGTGACTGATGCTGAGGTTGAGATAGCCGGAATGTCAATCATCCGGAACGACCGCCCCAGCAGAGGAGGTGGGGTCCTACTCTACTACCGCAGCGATCTACAATGTACAATAGTTGAGGACCTGGAAACACACGTTACCGACTCACTCTGGTGCCGTCTCCGACTGAGACACAACGATACATGTCTCATAGCTATCGTTTACCGCCCCCCAACGTCCACTCTGGAAATGGATTCCTGCTTGATCCGTGGCCTAAACAGAGTAACACGCACTAGATACAGCCACACTCTCATCTCCGGGGACTTCAATCTACACAATCTGGAGGTTTCGGCATCGCCCAGTGAGCAGTTCAAAGCAGACTTGCAGGAACTGATCGCTAATATCCCTTTGTACAATCATGTCACCACGCCCACTAGATTCAGGACAGCAAACAAACCGTCCATATTGGACCTTGTGCTCACAAATGAAGAGCTCATGATTGAGAAGTTATTGATGGATAGTCCATTAGGTCTCAGCGACCACGTAGTAATAACTTTTGACTATGTGTGTTATGCAGAGTATCCAGCTGAGCAATCGGAACTAACTCATACAATCACACGCTACCACGTATTGAAAGAACTCGCCGACGAAGCTGCTTGGGAATTCTCAAACAAAAGTCCCCTTGACAACGTTTGGGCAGAGTTCGTTAATAAGCTCAGCGACATCGTCAACAAAGCATCAGAGACCAAACCCCTTCGTCCCGCGAAAATGCATTCAATTATAAGGAGTAGGACTCGCAAATGCCTGGCGATAAGGGATGCAGCATGGCGTGCCTACAAGATTAACCCAGACTCAGAGACTTGGGGAAATTTCCTGACCCATCGCAACCATTGCACCGCACTTGTCCGTGAGGACAAAATAACGTATCAACAGTGTCTAGCCAAAAAGTTCATGGCAAACAACAAACTGCTGTATAAGCATGTCAATAAGCTTCGTAAAGTGAAGCATGGAATACCCCCACTATTCACGACAGGCGGTAGAGTACAAAGCGCCGAAGAAGCAGCTAATGCACTGCGGCTGCAATACGCCCCAATTTTTGAACTCGCAACATCTACCTGTCCCATAATATCAAGCTCATTACCGACACCTTTGTTTACAAATGTTATTTTCAACCCATCAATTGTGCTAAGGAAGTTACTCTCACTGCGCGAACATAGTTCTCCGGGAGCAGACAACATCCGCCCGAAGGCACTGAAGGCTGTGGCTAATAAGCTAGCTGAACCACTGTCACAGTTCTTTCAAAGGTGCTTTGATGAACAACGAGTCCCCACTATGTGGAAGTGTGGCATTATAACCCCTATTTTTAAAGGCGGTAGCCGTTCCGATCCTGCAAACTATCGTCCAGTGACTCTCCTCCCTGTGCTCGCGAAGGTGATGGAAGCAGTCGTCGCTGAGGCTTTGATGGACTATCTGGAAAAATGCAACATCTTGGTAGTGGAACAGCATGGCTTCCGTCAACACCGGTCATGCACCACCAACCTACTTATTGCTCGAGGTAGTTGGACGGAAGTGGCCGATGATGGGGTCGGAGTCGACGTCATCTATCTGGACTTTTCCAAAGCTTTCGACCGCCTCGATCACCGCATCCTACTTCAACGGCTTCAGAGTTACGGAATCGGAGATCCTGTACTTGGTTGGATTGGCAACTTCCTTTACCAACGAAAGCTCCAAGTACGTGTTAGGGGATCACTTTCTAACCCAATTGAGGTGGAATGTGGTGTCCCGCAAGGCTCAGTGCTGGGACCGCGCTTATTCCTGGTGTTTATCAACGACCTGGCAAGAGTCATCTCCTCAAACTTCCTGCTTTTCGCCGATGACGTCAAGATATGGCGGGCGATTAGTAACAAGGCAGATCAGGATCTGCTCCAACATGACCTAGATTGCATTTACGAATGGTCAAAGAGTAACAAGCTTCAATTGAACATGGCTAAGTGCAAAGTGATGCATCTGCGTCACCAGCTGGTGAGCGCCTACAAGATTGGAGACCACACCTTGGCAAAGGTTTCTCATGAGCGGGACCTGGGTGTATTGGTACAGGAAGATCTCGGGTGTTCCAAACAAGCAGAGAAGGCGACGAGAACCGGAAATCAACACTTCGGCCTTCTTCGCAGAGCCTTCGGTCGGTTTGAACCGTCAATATTTCCCCAAATGCTTAACGCCTACGTGCGCCCGCATGTGGAATATGCTATTCAGGCGTGGCAGCCGTGGCAGAAACAGGATCTCATTGCTCTCGAGACTCCTCAACGACGGGCAACCAAGAACGTCAGGGGCCTCTTTCATCTGCCCTATCAGCTTAGACTGAAATCTCTAAGAATGTACAGCAGTCGATATCGGCTTTTGCGGGGGGATCTCATAATGGTTTACCAGATTCTGAAGAACCCAAACCACATTTGCCGTCCGCTGCTGGAATTGAACCCCAACATTAAACTAAGAGGTCACCCTCTGAAACTGACAATTCATTACAGCCGGCTTGAATGCCGTAGAAATTTCTTTTCTCTCCGCGTGTGTGAGCCTTGGAATGCCCTCCCTAATTATGTCGTCTCTGCTCCCAATCTGGCGATATTTAAAAAACGTGTTGACGATGCGTTGTCTCACTTACATTTCATTTTATGACTTGTTAGCCAGGGGCTACAAAACGCAATCAAACGGTTTCTTGCCAAACGCTCAACCATTGGATTTATGGATTTTTATGTTTAATACGCGAACATCTCCGCTATTTCACATAAGTCTATGGTGAGTCCACCACAACGCTTTTCACTTTATTATGCAATTTATTTTCGCAATAATTTCCATCCCACGGGACTTGTTAAGCGATGCTTTTTTACCCGTAATAAACCATTGTCCATTGTCCATTGTCCCATCTACTCCCAGTCACTCGCGAGGCGCCGGCAACACATTATATATTGCCACATCCCGCCCAATTACCCGGAAGAGTACTTATGGCAATATTATCCATAGTCAGCTAACGTCCACTTGCACCCACGCGATTGTCATGCCACGATAACCTACTGAATCTCTGCAGAATATAAGTGTTCTGTGCCGTCTACAGCATACTGCATGCCACACCCCCCGCTCCCATCCATCGCTCTTTGTCCCCACCCCTCTCTTTCCGCATGGGCCCCCCCCCCCTCATGCTTGTTGACAAAGCCCTGGCTGCCTCCAAACATAAGCGATTTTCCTTTGTCATCCCATTTCGGTTTTCTGGTGCACCGTTGTTGTGCGTCCTTCTTTGACTGACCATCTCTTCCGCCCCCCCCCCCCCCCCCCCCCCCCCTCATACTTGCCCCTAAGCATATTTTCCTCGTAATCCCCCCTTCCCCCCCCCCCCCCCTCCGTATTCTACGCCATTCTCAAGCGCCGGTGCTTGTGAAAACTGACATTGTATGGCCACATTATCACGCCTTAGGGCCAGCATAAGACTCACCGAGCCGCTCCCGCTACAGGGGGCCCTGGGCCTTTGCTGTGTTCACATTACTCCAGCCAACGCGCCTTAAAAACTCGCTCTACTTACAGAGAACCTGCTCGGACACACACACAAATTGAGATTACTCATCGCTATGGAATTACTCGAAGCCCGATGTTGAGTTTATTTTTTTACACTGATCTCATTGGTGAGCAGGCATTGACTTAGGCCCCATCCAAGCGCCGCCAATTGCCCCCCCCCCCCCCCCCCCCCCCCCCCCCCCCCCCCCCAACCGAATGGTCTCGTGCATTGTCCTGTAGCTCACCGTGGACAATTAACAATCGCATCCAACTCACACATCGTTCGCCCAAATGGAGAAAAATACTTTCCCTGCTGCAAGTTGGACATCTTTGCCTTAATTTAATACTCCGCCACGCGCTTTTACAAAATACCGTCGTTATGTACTCGAGCTCGCCTGTCCCCCCCCTCCCCGACGTATACCGAACCGGTCCACTGCCAATACTCTGTACACACGCGTCGAAGCATGGCCTTATTTAGCCTTACCGCACAACGCCCACTTAAAGTCTTCCTTTTTATACACCACAGCTGTGCCATTCTTAGATTGAGAAGCTACTGCTATGCCAATTACCCGTCAACGAGTTCCAGACCATTGGCTTGGCTAACCCATTGTCAGCACACGCTGAGGGATGCCATTATCCGTTTCCGATGTCGCCGAGCAAATCGGATGACCCGCCTGATGGAACTTATTCTTAATGCAAAGACGTGCCAAGATCACATATGTCGATACGAAATCGGTGAATGCATATCCGCGTTATTGCTAACATTCTTTACACCAGACCTGGTCAAGCATGGCTTTTAAGTACGGTGCTATGCATGCGCTGTGACAGTGTCTTTGTAAGCTCAAAAACGTTATATTGGATAAACCGCTGGGTATCCTGGGCATATGTGCCATGTATCTAAGTAACGGATTTATTGTCCTCCTTTTTTCATCCCTCGTTTCCCCCTCTTTTTCTTTATTCTATTTTGGCTTTATTCCCATTCCTCTTCTTTCTACCTCTTTTTTTTTCTCTCACAGCCTTGCTGGCCCGCATTGAGAATCATCATTCGAATCGCCAGATCATCTCACCAATTATAGAGGATAAGCTGCCGTAGCTCACGGGCTTATTATAAAATTCCGCCACTGTCGCCTTACACTTACATATTTCGTACTGTTTTCGCCATATCGGATGACAACCTCCTACTGCAATATGCCTGATACAAGAGTCATGGCTCATTTGCATATATAAAACTAATAGCTTTCTATGTACCTGCTGCACTGAGTAGGCACCAGTTATACGCACGAATCTTTGCCTTAGTAGGATTATTTGATGACATTTTAGGCACCAAATCGTCGTCAATTGGATAAAAAAAAAACCTCATTGTGCCCATGTGCCGAATATACCATTCAAGCCGCAAAGCTGTAGGAGCAACCACGCGTCTTATCACTCATCAAGGCTAAATGTAGAGGATAACACCCTGTATCGCGCCTTCACGCCGCACTCATGAAGACGGTTGTATGCCCCAGAATTCTTGACCCCAATTTTGGATGGGTCCCAGCCACTCTCTCCAGCGTTCACCCCATTTGAGCTTGTGATTCCGTAAATAAATCGGCACCTATTTTCAAGCGCAACTTGTGGAGTTTTCATTATAGTCAAATTTACGGGGAGCAGGCTAATTTGGTAATCTTTCAATGAAGTGTTTCCATTCTTAAACGCGAATATTTTTAGCCATATTTGTTACTCTTCTGCCCGGTCGTGAGTGTAGACAAGTTAAGTCCCACCCAGGGATCTTGTATTCCAGATGCGAATATATGGCGAAATATTTGTGTATATGGACTTCTCATTTCGTGCTGAGTGTAGATTTGTTAGGATACCGAATTGCGTGCGGCATTTGCATGTTTCATTGGCATAGAGCGCTTCCTCTAACTGACGATATGTTTGGCATTACGTGTTGTTTTCGGCGCTTGTTAAGTGCATAGATGACACTCATTTTTGCTCCACTGCTGCAGGGCGCTGTTATCTATTTAACTTAATGTGTGCCATATTTGTACTACTCAACATCTTCGTGCTGAGGGAAGGAACAGGCCATTCCACATACTATAAACGCGTAAATGATTGGAGATTGGCGGTCTATCCTAATTGGAGATGTCTGTGTGTATTTGGGTCTTGTCAGCACGTGTTGAGTGTAGTTATGTGTTGCTCGATCTCTGCTTGTATTTTACATAGGTAGTTCATCGCAACTGGCAAGATTTGTGCGGTAAAATTGTATGTTCTCAGGCGCGTTACGGTGGGATGAAAACGGCTATTGAGGTTATCTGATTGGGAGGGGATGCGTGAGTATTTGCGCCTTCTTTGCACGTGCTGTGTTTTAGAGTTACAGACTGGCGCTACTGCGCTGGAATTATTGCATAGGTTCATTGCACAATGGCGAGAGTTGTGCCTTAAATTGGTCTCCTATTTGCAGTGCGGCATGCTGCTATTGTTACTCCATTACGGAGCTCCCTCTAATTGGCGTTTTGTTGACGTCACGTGTGCGCTGCTGGCATCTCTGTGTGCCGTACTCAAATCGCATACAGTATAGGCGGTGTGTCCTATTATCGGCGATGTAGGCATAAATGTACTTCTGACAGAGCGTGCTGAAAGGATGAAAACGCCATGCCAAACTCTGCGGTTGATTATCGCATCAGCGGTTCCGGAGGATTATACAGTATTTTAAGCGCTGTGACGGTGCATTAAATAACCATTGACGTCAGCTGCTGTTATTTCTGAGTTGGCTGCGTAGGATTTACCTCTAGTTCGCGGTGATGTGTGCATAACTCGATTTCCCTGTTGCGTGCAGAGTGAAGGTAAACCATGACGCGACACAGTTCCGCATACTACACCAGGAAGTTTATCAAATCTGCAGCGCGATTTGTGCCTAATTGTCTATCACAGAACACACCATCGCAGGTTACTCGATCAGCTTGACTCGGCGCTGAAGCTTGAATATCCAATAGTCGGTTCATCCAACGGACAACTTTGATGCGGTAAGTGGTCTTTTCTCATCGTATGTGCGGTTGCGATACAGCACATGCCCGACTCCGTGTCGGATGTTGCACAGGCGGTTCATCCCAATTGTCGATAACTGGGGAGGCTTTTGCCTGAGTGGCTGTAGGGGTGTATGGGCGCGATGCGGGTGTTATATATGCTATATGGACCGGTTAGCAGCTTTAACCTTGCATAAAGCTATTGGCACACATACGCGCAGCTACTGTCAATGCAAGCGAGTAAAACACCATTCAGGTATAGAGCTCGCAACTTAATCATAGATTATACATTACGGGACACCGCGTCGGGGCTACGCTTATCTGGCTTTCGCACGCGCTGTGAAGGCCAGATACAAACCCATTTTGCCATCAGTTTGAACCGCCAAGGGACATTCAGTGCCGAGTCGCTGAAGGGAGATAGGCACAATATTGCGTTATGCTATGTGCTATGTGCAGAACTTGAGGGCGGGTTTTATTGATCTCGCTGAACACCGCAAGCAGTACACCAAATATGCACACATGACTTGTCAATTAACTGAAATCACGTATGCAACATAGTAGCTGTTAAAGTCCTGCTTAGGTAC